CACACATGCATGCATTGACCCCCAGCCCCAGTGCACACCCTTCTCTGAAGGACCCATTCTCTGACCCCAGCACCAAAACACAGCCAGCTTGTCCCTGGCACCCATCCTTGTCACCTACAAGGCCTCCCACCTTCAAGTCCTCCAACCCCACCTTCTTCAAGGGGCCCCAGCACTGTCTGCTCTAATCATGTTGAACCCCATCAATGTGGCACAAGATTATTTCCTGGGGAGGGGAAGTTGGTACAAGATGGTGTTTCCTGAAGACAAGGTAAAGAGAAACTGGGCTTTCCTCTGGGTCCCCCACATTTGCTGGGTGTCTGAATACATTAAGAGCCCAAAGAAAGAAGTGTCAATTTATTTTTATTACCTAACCAAGCGTTTCTGGAACTGTAGTATGCATTAGAATCACCTGAAGAACTTAAAACAGATTGCTGGATCCCCCTCAACCCCCAGTTTCTGATTCAGGAGGTTTTGGGTGGGGCTGGACAATTAGCATTTCTAGTAAGTTCCCAGCTAATGCTGATGCTGCAGGTCCAGAGACCAACTTTCCTCTCCTCCCCTCTCCTCTCCTCAGAACCACTGACTTAACCTGCAGGTGAATCAAGGAGAGCTTTTGTGAATAGGTGATGCTAACACTCCTGTCAATGGCCAAGCAGGAGCTGCCCTGGAGTAAGGAGAGCAGGGGATCCAGGCAGAGGGTGCAGCCTGAGTGAAGGCCCTGCCATGACATTCATTTCTCCTCACCTGGCCTCTGCCTGGGCAGGTAGCACAAATCAGTGATGGCTGCGTAATAACTCCAGCAAACCTCCACCGACCGCCACCCTAGACCTGCCCGGACAGGCCGATCCTTGGCCGGCCCAGGGGTGAGGTGAATCCACGCCCCGCCTCACGGAGCCAGACCTCAGGTCTGAACGGGCCCGAGTCCCCACCACTTCGCAAGCACACAAGCACCTGCAGACATAACCACTTCCACCTTGGCCAGCTCTGATGGTCTCCTCGTTTCCAGTGCCTCACAGAACAATTCAGCTTCATCTGACTAGAGCGGCCCCTCAGACACCACCAGACCCTGATGGTAACCCCTCCAAGTCTGAACCACTCCAGGCCAAGCTGTCCACCTCGCTTGATCTTAAAAGGGGGTGACAATAGTGCGCATCTCCCACTGCTATTGGGAGGATTAAAACGAGCTCCTGAGTCGTTAACTACGTGATCAACTACAGCGCCAACCATAACTAACGTGGACTGAGCTTGTGGTTAAGCACCTTCCCTTTCTAAATGCCGAGAGATGCGGACAATTATTATCCCCTTCACAAAGAGGAAGAAACTAAAACACAAGCAAGAGGTGGTCCAGCAGAGATTTGAACCCAGACCATCCTGCTCCAGAGCCTAGCTCCCAGCCTCTCCTCTATCTGTGTCCTAGTCACCTGTCTCAAGACCTAGCCCAGGTCACTTCTCCCTGCCACCATCCTTTCCCCCTTCCCGGAGCACAGGGAGGCTGGTCGGGAGGCCCCTGGAGGCTGCAGCCCACAGTGCACATAGTCTGGGGTACAGGTCCCTGGGCGTGAGGGCAGCCACAGCACTTGCCGGCCAGGTCAATTTATCCAGCATAAATTTTAGATACTCCTCAACGTGGACACCAGGGAGGACACTGCAACTAGAGAACTTGAGCACGTTAACCCTGATGAAAGAAGAGAAGACAAAAAACAGGTGTAACCGAGAGAGGAAACTCTGCCAGGCTTCCTGGCTAAGGTGGGCAGTTCCCACACCGCACACAAACTGCCCTCTCTCTCCTGGTCTCAGTTTCCTTATCATACGAGCCTCCTCAAGTCACTAGAGAGAAAGTCTAAAAACTCAAACTCCGGAGATTCTTCCCTCCATCTCTCAAAAGACAGACCATCTCCTAGGCATAAACAGTAATTACAATAACCATTGTTCTCCTCGCACAGCTCCTACTTGCGGGGCTCTCACCAGGGGTCAGGCACTGATGTGCTCAACCTCCCTAGCAAAACAGAATTACTACCATCCTCGTTTTCCAGTGGAGGAAAACAACGCCCAGAGAGGCTTAGGCGATTTGATCTAGATCCCACAGCTAGTGGTGGCAGAGTTGGAATGTGAACCCAGGAACTCGGACTCCACTCTGCAATGCTGCCCACCCGCCGTGGGGCAGAAAAGGCCCACTCTCAGACACTGCCTCCAGAGAACGGAGCCTAGAGGAGATGAGACTCGTCCTGAAGGAGTCAGAACTCAAAGCCAGGTGTGTGAAGGGCCACGCAGAGACCCAGATAGCAGGCCCTGCACATGGAGAGCAGGGATCAGGCAGTGCCAGCTCTGCGGAATTAGGAAGAGGTCACAGTGGAGCTGGGCACTGGCAGGGGAGAATCTGGGGGTGGGTGTGGGGAAGTGACTGGGGCGCAGCATCCTCACTGCCAGCAGAAATGTGGAAGCCAGAAGCGACAGGCACACACAGGGAGGGAAAAGAGGCGGGTTCTGTCAGGGTGGACGGGGATTAGGAGGTGGGGCACTGAGGTTACATCACAGGTCATCTCCCACATCTTGCCCTCAAACATAAATGTTCATTTGCAATCCAACCTGTATCAAAAAGTAAAATAGACAGGAATAAAAAGCTCCAGGAGGCAACTTGACACAAACCCATCTTCATCTAGATAAGAGCTTCAGAGCCCTCTGTGACTCCTTTGGTGACAGACTGGCTTTAGCCATGAGGCCACACAGTCCAAGACATCCACATTTACCCCTTCCACCAAGCTCCAAACCTCCAAGCTGAAGCTGACAGGCAGAGCTTTGTGACAATGCCACCAGCAGGAGACCCCTAAGGCCAGGAGACCTTGCTTTTAACCTCTAATGAGGGGAAGGAGGGGGATACCCCTGACCCCTCCACGACCTGATGCACTCCAACCCTCCCACTCCTCACTTTCAAACCCATCAGCCCTTTCCTCCAACTCCTGATGATTGAGCCTGATTCATGATTCAGCCTTACTTCCTCACGTTTGAGGAAAGAGAGACTGAATCCGTTTCACAGAAAGGAAAGCAGGAAGGTTCCAGTCCTCTGTGAAACCCGATTCAGACATTCTGAGAGTCTCTCAAAGGTCAGTGGGGCTGAGTGTTTTCCACGGAGCAAGGGTTCTCCCAGGCAGAGCACTGTAGGCAGGGCATGTATGGGGAACTTCTGGAGATGCACAGGAGGGGGCAGCTCTGAAAAGCTTTGAGAGAAACAGAATAGAAGTGGGCCAACCACTACCCCAAAAGCTGAGATTCTCAGGCAAAAAGGGAACTGAAAGAGGTCACCCAGGCCTGGCCCTCCAGTACCTGCCTTTGGCACCCTCTCCAACCCTCCTGCCTCTTTGCACGGCGATGGGGACCTTGCTGCCTCCCTGGGCAGCTTATTCTCCTGTTAGCTTCTCTGTCACCCTTGGTGCTACCTCTGCCCTTCAGAGCCACACAGGACAAGACTATGCCCTCTGCCCAAAGAGAGCCCTGCAGGGAACTGAAAGTAGTGACGCTGCCACTTAAGGGTCCGTCCCCAAGCCTTAGATTATCTGTGATGACCCCATCCCCAAGGCACCTACAAAGTCTGGTAACCTCCCTCCTCTTCCCTCTCAGTCCCATGCCCTGAGTCAGACTTCGGTCAAATTTCTGCTGGACCACAATTAGCATCATCTCTGAGCTGGTCTCAACCCTATCAGTCTTACCACCATCTCTGGCCAAAAGACCCGGGAGGAGCAGCACAATAGGGCAGAAACACTTCAAGCCTGGGTTCGAACCCAGTTCTGCAAGTGACTCAGCCCCTCTGAGCTTCCACTTCCCCGTGTGACAGTGTGGTGGGGCAGGGGGTGACCAGCAACAGCAGCTATTTTACAGAAGTATTGTGAGATTTCAATGGAGCGTCTGTAAGGAGCCTGGCACAAGACAGAGTAACAGGCATCGACTCAACCAGCTGCTGACAGCCCTCTGTCCTCTCCACCAGCCACAGAATAAAATCCAAACTCCTGAGCAGGATACTGCAAGCTCCCCACCGCCCGATCTCGCCTCCCACTGCCCCCCTTCCCACTGCCTGCACCCTCACAAACACTTCCTCCCTCAGGAAGCCCTGCCGACATTAACAACCAGAGGAGCTTTTCCCCTCCACTGACCTTCCAAAGCCCATCTATCACTGATCACATCCTGCCTCTTCGCCATCACTTGATGCTCGCCTTCCCTCCCCCATCAGATTAGCAGCCTCTCCAGTCAGAAACCAGCAGCACTTCATCCCATTTCATTTCCCCTTCACCCTCGTCCACAGAGATTCTCCATACATATTTAACAAATTACCCTAACGTTCCATTTCAAGTAAAGAATGTCCAAGTCCTGTAAACAGTCCAGATATTTCAAGCCATACCCAAAACCAAATTCCAAGCCAGTAGAAGTCTGCCCAGTCTCTAGGGACTTGCAGGCCTGGCTTTGACCCCAAAGTATGAAAGACAGGTCAAGCAGGTCCAAAGCTCAGGGCAGAAAGAGCTCTGGGCTGCTGAGACCAGAGTCCATTTCTAAGTTTTTCACATGCAGAGTTTCTCAGCTGGCCCCTAGGTCAACCCCCAGCCTATGATTTCATACTCTTAACCACATCCTCAACTTGTGACTGTAATACTGCTCTTTGCTTACCCCCTTGTGATAGGAGACTCACTCTCCATGTTTTCATACTTGCTGGCTCCTCCTCCCTTCACCTGTTGATTCTCTTGCTCTGATCATAAAGACCAGGAGAATACAACCGCATGCCAAGGGTCATCCCATCCCTCAGGACTCCTTTCAGCCCCTCCACTCAATGCCCCACATTTCTGAGTCCCCTCAAAGTCCAGCTAAGTAGTGGAATTTCCACTCTTGTTCCTAAAAGCTGACAGTGAACCGTCAGCCCAGGAGGGCCCCCTATTCTCAGGGCCCAGGAAAAGCCTACAGACACTGCAAATCCCAGACGCAGTGCTGGAGTAGCCCTCGGAGCAGTCAGAATAGTAATAATGCACAAACTTTCCTCTCCTGAAAATGTCTTTCATTATCTGTTCCCATTCCATTGTTTTAAGATGTCATTTGCTAACTAGAAATTTGTTCTCCATTTTTTAAGAAATTACTCAAGACCCCCACTCAGAGCCTGATTCACAATCATGAGATAATACCCCCACCAAAAGACTGGGCCAGTACAGGGCACTAAGGCAAATGAAAGTCTGGGCCATCCCACATTCACTCCTGGACTACTTACTGAGGGCCTACAGTGTGCCCTAGGCGCAGAAACCCATATACACATACATTTTCCATGAGGATTCTGCAATCAGGACAGTGGCTCACAGTCCACCCTTCATTACTGTCCTCAAGGACCCTTGGTGCTGCAGCACCTAGGTCAGCCCATTACTTTAGCAATGAGGACCCTGCAGATGAGTCAGATAAGAGGACGTCAGGAATATGAATCCCTTGGCCTTATGTCTCCCATCGCCCCAAGGGCTCCACTTCTGGTCCTACCTCTGCCCCCTGCTGATCTGAAAGTGACCTGGTCTGAATGGAGTTGAAAGGCTCTGCGGTCCCCTGGGTGCTGGAGAGAAGCCTGTTGACAAAGTCACCAGCTGTCCCCAGCAGGAGCCAAGGAGAGCTCCTCCCTGCACCACTCACACTGGGAGAGCACTCCTGTCGCAAACCTAGGCAGCAACAGAACTTGGACCATCAGGGAGCTCCAGGCCCAGCAGTAACAAGAGCCAGGGCACAAGACCTCAGTCCGCACCAGTACCAGGCAGAAGGAGCATCACTTGGGGGTAACGGTCAAGGGAAGAGGGGCTGGTGTCCTCATAATTTCTATGGAAAATGATACCATGAACTCAGTCACAGCAAGATCTTATAGAGCCCTGTAGTTGAGATTCAGGCTGGGGGAGGAGAGTCAAATCCAAGCTCTACTTCTTCACACCTGTGTGACCTTTAGGATTCTGTGCCTCAGTATCCCCATCTGTAAAATGCTGCTAATAGTAATGTGGGAGAATTAAATGAGATAATGTATGTAAAGCAATTAGCCCAGGGCCTGGCACATAGTAAACATTCAACAAATACTTGTTGAATATAAGCTTGCCACAATTAACTAAGGTACCACAGGTTCTCGTTTCATCCATATTCTGGCAGATACTATAAATTGCCCATTTTACAGGCAAGGAAACTGAGGCTAGGAGAAGGTAAGGGCCGATCCCAAAGTTACAGAGCTGACAGACACCCAGGTCAGTCTGAACCTCAGATCAGGGACAATAATGCCCCAGGCTACTCCGAATGCTTTGGGGGCAAGAGTACAGCACCAGGGCGTGATGGTGGGGCTCTGTAACTCCTGGGTCTAGCATGGCTCCTAGCTGACCCGGGTGCCTGAATCTGGGAAAGAAGCAGGAGGCCAGTCCCCAGTTTCTCAATCTCTCCTAGGGCCCACGCGTCCACATACTCCCCCTCCTTACCCCTTCCCAAAGTGTTAAAGATCAGCGTTCAAAGCCGGGGATCGTTGCTCCGAGAACCTGAGGGAGGAGGGGAGTTAGAGACCGGGCCGATCACAGCCCAGAGAAAACCGGTCCGGCTGCCTTACCCTTCCCGAAGCGGGGACCCGGCCTCT